ATATTACAAGATTTAATGATGCAATTTCAGTTCAAAATAGAGAAAATAAATAACAATAAGGCATATTTATTGTATTCACTTGGAACCTAATAATAAATACAATTTATTTTCCCACTCATATTGATATTTAAACAATTTAAATCTAAATTCTGAACATTTTCTAAATTTTCATTGTAAATCAGTTTTCCCTTAACAGATATTTCAAGCAAAGAAATTTAAGTAAAAAAGAGGAACATTTCTGAAATCAGAAGACACAAATTTGCTTCATGCAGTCATCCTATAAACAGTAAAAGCTTAACTAACACGCATACTTGGAAGTTGGCGAATATTCGGACAGTCGAGCGTAACTTGAAAAAGAGGAGCGGAGGTAGACTGTAGCCGCTCGTTAAATTTTTCTGCTAAATAAATGCTTTTGACATTTCGATATGCGCATCATATAAAAATAAACCAATGGAAATGAAAAATATTCTACTTAGCAAGCACAGTAAAACTCTTTTAAGTGTTCATGAACAAATCTCGGACAGAACATCAAAATTAATTATCTCTGCAAAATATTCGCAAAGCGTTATTGTGCAATATACGTGCGCCGTAATTCTTCCCTACGTGATATTATACGCAATTGGAATCAACTGCTGCCGGTATTGGGAGAATAAAGGAACTAAATAACATTGGGGTGTTTTTCATTCTAATTTTCAACAGACGGCGTTAAATTTCCGGAATAGAATCATTCTTCGCTTGGGTTAGTAGACCGCAGAACTTTTAGTCTTATTCACTGGAGATTAGAAAGCAAAAAAAAAAAAAAAAATCTGTTGCTTGTTTTTTAGCGAACTGTAACAGTTTCAATATTCGAGATTTGCGGAGAAAGGGGAGGACCTTCCAATCTTCGTACTGTATAATTTATTGCCCCCCCCCAAAAAATTATTTTGACTACTCGATTACTTTCCCTTTATACAAGCCATTCCGAATATTATTCCTTAGAAAGCTAATCTGTGTTAAAACACAACCATTTTTGAAAGTTTACTATACTTCAGCAGTTACCGAAACTACGTTATTATAAACATTTATACATATGCTCATAATATAAGCATAACGATCATAAACACGAATATGAACTGACTAAGCGGACCGAGAATGCAAATTATTAAGATCTTGATAGAAATTCAAACGTGTGTAGTATTTGGGTGGGAGGAAAAGAATGCCGAATGTACCGGAATTTTCTACTGCTTTCGCATTTCTTTGACCAATAGAACGACGGGCACCTGTCTGTACTCTTCGTGCACACCAAAGGTTATGTTAATGCAGAGAAAGGGGAAAAGCTATTTCCGGGAGTGTGATTCACCATCTGATATTCTTTATTAGGAAGAAAAGTTGTTTATTTAGTTTCGGCTTTGGTTCCGGGAAAAAAAGCGCGTTCATTAAAAAAAAAAAAAAAAAAGGCACTAAAAGCAAAAAAATAAGCACTAGAAACAAAAATGTAAGGGCTTTAGAGAAAAAGTAAGCACATATAAGAGCCTTTATATTGTTACGAATTTGGTATTTAAAAAGCTAATGTTAGTTCAGTTATAAATTAAATGGTTTTATTTCTCGTGCAGTGCAGCGCATGACGAATATTAGAAGAAAGCTAAGCCGGAAAATTAAAAATACAAGAGCGCGTGCATTAAATAAATAAATATCTCTTTTTGATTTCGAGAAAGTACTGGAAAATTCTAGCGCGTGATTTTAAAATCTTATAAAAGGAGGAAAACACCTCAGTTTGTTGTTGTTTAGAAAACTGCTCTTGTTGATCGTAGCGAATTCGCGGATTAGCGTTCTTTAGCTGTTTTGAATTACGTTCTATTGGACATTTGAGTAGTTAAAAGATAACTACTGTGAGATATTGTAATACTGCATGATAATTTGAGAAAATTTAAGCATTTTTGTTGTGATAATAATAAATTTTTGTTCATTTTTCATCAGACTTGTGCATTTATTTTATAACGAACCCGTATGTACGCAACAATATTTTATTTTCAAATATAAGGACTTATAAGCACTTATAAGGACCGCTATGAACCCTGTTAAAGTTTGAAACGTAGACAAAAAATTTAGATAGTAATAATATGGCATGGAGTTTCTTGCCAAACACGTTTGGTGACCTGAGGGTGCACATAAGAGTAGTTCCAAAATATTAATCAATAGATGTGGTGCACCTTTTTCTTCTTTTGTTTTTTATTGAATTTGTCTCCTGATATCGTAAACAAAACTTTCGGACTCCAGATGTAGTCACTGAACCACCCACCTGCCTTGCAATTTCAGCATAGGAAAGACCACTTTCTCGTAACACAATAATATTGCATCTCTTTCTAGGTGTCCAATCTACTCTTTTATTTGATGTCATTGCTTCTTGACTAAATATTAAAAATTTTTACAAAAATTCCTACTTGTTATTGCAGTGTACAAGAAACAGGTCCTCCTTCTACAGAACAAAGCAAAATAATGAATTGTTTCAAGTGTAAACATGATGTCAGCTTCTATTGGCAGTTACTAACATTTGGTTCTCAGAACAAGAACAGTGATTGGCCAGGAAAGCTAGACATTACAAACCACTTCATAACTGTGTTTTTTATTTATATTAAAGTACATATAACTTTTTTGTACTGCAAATTATTGAATTTTGTATTGAATTCAGTAATAAATTCTCTTTAAAATGATATATAGAAGTTTGCATTTTGCGAAACGAAACATTTTCTATAAGCATACAAAGTTCAAAAAAATAAAAATTTCCAAAAGTGTCCACAATTTTGGCCACCACTGTACATTTAAGCACTACCAAAAGCAAATATTCACTTACCATGATTTTCAAGTTTGCTTCGTACACCCAGAGCCACGTAAAAATCAAAATATTAATCATACTCAAATGACCTTTTCTCAAACCAGGTACTCTTTCTGATCGAACGCTTCACATAGTGACCATCTGAACCTTTGTTCCTACAAACCCATTCAAATCCATCTAAACGGTTTTTATGTCCGACTAGACGCATATCCTTCCTACATACAGGACATGGTAAAAGTATAGTTTAGAGTACCCCTTGGCGATTTTGGGCGGTACATGGATACCGATTTTGTGCAATTCTCTGACTCGTTATTTTGGCTTGTGAAACGGCGATTTTTAGTGAAAAAATCGCCGCTACACAAAGCCAAAATAACAAGACAAACAATAATATAACATAAAAAAGGAAGAACATGTTATACATTTAAGCACTACCAAAAGCAAATATTCACCTACCTTGATTTTTGAGTTCACTTCGTACACCCAGAGCCACGTAAAAATCAAAATATCAATCATACTCAGACTTTTTCAAATCAGGTACTCTTTCTTATCGAATGCTTCACATAGTGACCATCTGAACCTTTCTTCCTACAAACCTATTCAAATCCATCTAAACGGTTTTTACGTTCGACTAGACGCATATCCTTCCTACATACAGGACACTTATAATGGCTACTAAGTAAACCTTCACTTACAACACAAGTCAATTAAAGCTCTTTTCCCCTTTCGCTCCAAATCGTACAGAAACTTCAAATTAATCTTACTACATTCGGCCATTCTACCGTCTAAAAAATCAAACCAACACACACCACAAAAACGCTTACAAAACATCCCATGATTCAAAATTTCTCAGAATCATGCACCCGATTACGTCACAATAGGGTTTCCATAACATTCAACTACTCAGGCTACCATAAATGAAACAACAACTTTGCCATAATACAAGGGGTACCTTAAAGTCTACTCTACCTGCAATAATGTGCAAATGTTGGTTAGTCTTTGGATTATGGTAACTTGGCGACTAACCCTGCTACAGCAACCTGCTAGTTTGTTTTTTTTGGACGCCATTTTGTTTTCACAAAGTAAAGGCACTTCCCCCCCTCTCAACATTTTTTTTCAACAATCTGCTAGCCGAATTATGCTTATGCTAGAACTTTTATGGAACAAAAGTGCTTAATCATGACGAAGATTAGGTGCGAAATTGGGAGAAAGTGCAGAATTGCCCAGTACTTGCCGCATTTTTAAGAATTGCACATACACGGTATCATCCATGTACACGTCGACCTATTTTCACTTAAAAAAAAATCCCAGAATTGCCCAAAAATGGCATTGCGCACACTCTTGATTTTACCCATGTACACTGCTAAAGTCCTAGCTAGTAACCTTTATCGCCTTACCAAAATGTCGCCAAACTACCTGTTACCATATTCCAAAGATTAGCCCAATGTTATCAAGAATCAATAGCGTGATCATTACACCATAAATGAAGATCCAACTTTCTACAGTAATATGTTGGAAAAGTGCTTAAATTAATATATAAACCTGCAAGTACCTGCAACATCAAATTTTTTATCACTTTTTACACTCATCTTATACATCCAGTCTCATACAAACACCACCAAAACCAGATGATGAGGATATGTAAAGATATCACAGCAGATTAATCATATATAAAAATAAAGGGCAATGCTGCCTATATTTTTACTCCTTCACATGTCAGTATATAAATTTTACTATTTCTACTTGTTTTTCTGATTATAAGGGAATACCAGATAAAATGGTTATTACATGTTTGATATACTGCGAAAGATCATTGAATAACAAAACATTTGGTAGTTTACTCAATTTGACATATAATACATTAAAACACAAAACAATATTACCATCAAAATATATATTTCACCGTCTATATGCTGTCAAACTACCGAAAGAGTGCAAAATTTACAGTTTAGAGAGCATAACATTATCAAATGCAATCTAAATGGCTTAGAGAAATACAATTTACTTTTGCACTCTTCAGGTGTGCATGAAAGATATAGTTTCTTCATACGGAATTTTAATAACTCCAAAAAAGAACTTTAAACGGAAAACATTTCGAATTTAATGAAAGCAAATTTCTTGAATAACAGTTAATTTCAAAGTTCTCAACACGAAATTCTTTACTTGAAGTTTCAAAGATGTTACTACTTACTTGAAGAACAACTTCTACATCATAACAATTGCCTTTACTTTTTTGATGACCCTGAAACTTTGATCCATTATACAATAAAGATCTCGCAACTCCAGGTTGACATGAATTTGCAGGAGGTGGTGGGATAATTTTTGTCTTTCCAGGCATCTTTATGAAAACAGCGGTTATACTTAATAAATTTCAACGAAGAGTTGAGTTGAATATTTTAAAATGACAAATCATCATAGCCCAAACAATTACTGATGACGTGTGGTAAAAGCAGTATAATCTTTTATTAGATTACTGCAAAATCCTTCTTCTGAACCATTCAGTAAGTAGTACACATATTAGTTTATACCGATAACATCTTTTAAGTTGATAAAATCATAGAAAGTTGAGATTTCAAGAATGAGAGATAATTTGCAAATTTTACCGTTTATACAAAGAAAATATTGTCAGCATATTTTATTGGTAAAACTGAAGAAAATTTCTGAATTTGCTTATTTGGCCGAGAAATAGAACGCTTTTCATTACATCGATTTTTTTAAATTCCTAAATATCCTTTCTTAAAATTATATTCTGCCCAAGAAAAACCACAACTTCACAATTTGAAGTGTTTCGAAATGAAGTGAAGACATTTATTATTTGTAATCAAAATTGCGTTAAAGGTATGCGCATGTAGGAAGGATAGATTTTTTCGAGTGAGGCGTTGGGAAAGTTTATATGATGTTCATTAAGTAAAACTTCTTTATCTGAAGATACAATTTCTTATCAGTAGTTTGCCGACTTTTGTCAGTACTTATAAGTAAGGCATTTTCTTGAATATGAAAAGTAGTTTCAATATGGATCATATGTTCCGGCAACATGATTTGTGGACGAAAATCTAAAATAAATTATCATTTGATATACATCCATTGTCTGCGGCTTATAATTAATAGCTGTAATTGTTTTGTTGTATATTAATAGATTCTTGATCGACAATAATTTTGGCCATATATCCGAATTCGTCAAATTTTTTATTCAAATTGGCGAATCAGTTTATATTTAAACTGTTTAAAATCAATATTTCCCATTAAAATGTATGTATCTATAATAAAGCTGTTTAAAATTTTAACTTAAATCTATCGTTAAAGAAATAGTAAATAGTTTCTCCTTCTCTCAGATGATCTGTTTCCTGCGATTCTGAGATTATCATTTAGCAATTTCAAAATCGAATGTGACTCGGAATATAGTGAATGCTGGGATGTTTCTCTTTTCTTTTCTCTTATTTCTAGAATTCTCTCTCCATTCTTTTTTTAAATCAACTGTTAATTTTCCGAAAATTGTAATTTTAATTATTCATGGTTGTAGTTTGCCTTATTTTGTTCTGAACTTTTCTTGCAAAACAGAACATTTAAGCATTAAAGCTATCTTTTTATTTTTAATAAAATGTGCATATGCAGTGTACCTATTATGTGATCATTTTCTCATTTAATTTTTTTTTCTTTTTTCCCTCGTATTTAGTACTTATAAGTATTATAATATTTTTTTTGTCAGCCTGCTAATTATATTCATTAGTATATAAATATAACCAGCAGTTCTTTGAAAGAGTGTTTAACCATACTCTTTATCAACTAAGTATAATTCCAAATCTTTTTATTGTATTCTAACTCTGACTGGCCAACAGTTTGACTGTGAATCTCAAATTTCCAAAACTAACATGAGAAAGAGATATTTTGTTGATTATAGTACTAAAATGTTCATGGTATTTTATATCTAGATTAATAACATAATTCCTTAATTTCGTGAATGTATTTCAATTCATATATATATATATCTTTTTGTTTACTACTTTTGTATAAAAAGAAATATATTAATAGGCTAAAAATTTGAATTAAAAAAATTAAACCTGTTATACACGGTTGCAATTATATTATAGATCAATTGCCTTGCTTTTATTCCAATTTACTAATTAATTTAGATGCTTTAAGCATATATATATATATACCACATGATAAGCAAGATTTAGACAAGAAAGTTAAACTTTTAAAGGATATTTCCAGCATTGTAAAAATAGTCAAAACCAACAACTTTAGTATTATTTGAAAGGCTTTTTACTATAATCTGATTAAAAAAGAACTCTATAGCACAAGCAAATATCCTGCAAAGACATTTCACTTCAATTCATCGAAGACTGAAAATAACTAAAAAAATTTTACAACATATTTTCCAACCTTTATGCATTGCCTCAATTTCACAAAATGCCAATCAAATTTCTATTCATAGCTAACGGGATTGGAAATTACATGAGAGAAATAGACTACCGTTTTACTAAAATAATTTAAAAAGTTCTCTACTTTACTAAAGATGCACGAACACAATTTCAACTGGATAATAAGTAATAACAAACCAATACTAGATGCAATTTGCACTTTAAAATATTTTCTTTTGTGACTTATTACGAGAATTTATACATATCTCTTCCTTTACAAGAAGTCTTTGGCAGTCTTCGAACTTTGCCAGATTCTTTTGGACACTTTCAACCTTATACAGTCAAAAGTCGTTAATCCGGACTCGTCGGGACTTCGGCGATTCCGGATTATAGATCATCAGTTTAAATCTGGTAAGATGGCATGCAGAAATTACAAAATTAAAAATATGAAACCGTAATTTATGAAATAAAGAACAATTATGATCTAAAGGGTATCAAAATTTACAAAAAGAAAAAGCTTAATATTTATGTTACTTTATTAAACATTTCTTTCAATGTAAGTTGCTTCGTTTCATGTGATAATACTTTCTCTTTAATTCTATTAAACAGATATAATTTCTTGTTTAGTTACAAAGTTCCGCTGTTCAAGTCCTATAATTGCTGTGTTGAGAATACCGACTAATTTGTCAATCGAAATGTTTTCGTTTTCAATAACCTCTGGGTCACTTTCTTCACTATCGGAAGCGAATTATAATGACGAGGAACTTGATTTAAATCATATCAAAGACGGAGTACATCGAAATACTACACTTAGTACGGAATTATAAACCAAATAAAATAAAAACATCTGCCCTGAAGATAAGGATAGTGCTGACAGATCAACTTCCAATCCGTGGTGTGAAATTGATAAACAGATTTCGGATTTCAAAACATACTTTAGCTTTGTAGATACAAATTACATATTAGTAAATATATATCGGAAATTCTATTTGACATGATCTTTCTAATTTATCATAATCTAATAATGACGTTTCTGCCCCCCCCTCTGCCGCAGAGCAGCGTGAAATTGATAAACAGATTTCGGATTTCAAAACATACTTTCGCTTTGCAGTAAATATATATCGGAAATTCTATTTGATATAATCGAAAGTTCAAGCTTACTTTTATAAAACTGCTCTAACAGTCTGCAAAAAATAATAAGCCGGATCCATTTCGAAGATTAAGGAACAACGCAATCTGCAACATTAACTGAATTAGATAACTTTAGCTTAGCGTATAACTCCGTTACACATTAAACGCGCATGCGCACAAACATATTCGCAGCCGTAAGGGTCTTACGCGCTCTCGTAAACGCCTGTGCGCATGCGTGAACGCGACGCATGCACAGAAAGTTTGTAGCTTTGAGGTCCGGATTATAGATCATTCCGGATTATGGGTGTCCGAATTAACGACTTTTGACTGTACATACTTTTTCCAAGAACTACAAAATTTTTGCTTCTCTAGGGCAGCTTTGAATTCTACTTTTTTTTGCAAGGAACACAGTTCGGTCATCTTAAGAATTCATTTAGTTTACTTCAAATAGGTACTCAGGTTTTTAGCTGTTTAAGGCTCAGATTGGATTTTATTATTTATAGAAATTTCTATAAAAAGTTTTTTTGTTTTCTTGCTATTAAAAGTTTAGTTTAGTATAATCGAGGATCACCGAATATTTTAGTGTTGTTCAATTTGATTTAAAGTATATTTGTTTTTCTGTTTATTTATAATTGCCTTTGAATTTTGGATTTGCATATAATGGTTTTAGACAAATTTTTTTTTTTTTTAATGGTTAATTTGCATTATGTAAAAATTTTTTTTTTTTTTTTTTTTTTTTTTTTTTTTTAAAGTAGTCAGTTTGTCACAATCTTATGTTTTATTCTCTTTTTTAATTGTTTCGAAAGTGTGTAGGGAAAATTCTGGTAAACTTGAGATTTGATTTTTTGGTTTTGTATGAATTTTAATGTCTTAAATGAACATATAATTGAATCTTCTTTTGGTTATCTCACATGAACTAGGAGAGTGAAATATGTTTTCAAAGCATATTAATCGACTTTTAAGAAGCTTTAATTCATTTTTCCTGGTGAGTTCTGAATTGTAGTTTCTGTAAAAGGAGATTTATTTTTATAATTTTGCGTATTTTCCCTTTCACATTTTTATTTTTCGAGTTTGTTCTGCTATGAATTCTTATTGAATTTGATTTGTGTAGATATTTTGTTAAACCACTTATGCATGGTTGCAATTATTAATACTGTTGAGAATTGCCTTGCTTTGATTAAAATTTAATGTCTATTTTATCGTAACAGAAGAATTAGCAGCATTGTATTCACTTAAGGAACCTTCTTGCTCTTGAGATTTGTTAGGAGCAGTTACATCAACATTGGATTGCTTCTTGTTGCAACTCAGTAACATGTCAGGCTTAGCAACAGGTGGTGTTTCAGTCATGGTTGGTAATCAAGAAGGTTTAGTAAAACTGCTTGAAAATGGAGTCGGCAATATTCATAATACTTTGATGGTAAATTTTCATTGCATTATTTATCAAGAAAATATATGTTTCAAACCTCTTAAAAGGATGAAGGAGGTCTTCAAAACAGTGAGCTCCATGAAGATGAAGGGCAGTTGATTGACAGTTTTCAGAATTTCTCAAATCATCGGTTTCAGAGTATAATGATGTCGTAGTTTATACAGAAGTAGGATGGGTTAATCTGTGCTAGAATGTTAAAAAGAGTATTTGATTTGAAGCAAGAAATGCAGTCGTCCTTCAGAAGCAAGTATAAAAGTATTCCAGAGTTTGAAGAGAAGGAGTGGGTTTGGGACTTTGTATTTCTTGTTGATATAACTAGCCACTTAAATGATGTTAACACCGGTTTACAAGGAAAATATCAACTTATTAACAATATGCTTAATACGATTTCGTCATTTCAAATGAAACGTGGAATTTAGGATCAACAGATAAGTACAGAAATCATTATTAACTTTCTTACATTGTTATTGCAATTAGATGTCACACAAGGAGCTGCGGATTAATAAGCTTTGTTGATATTAATTTAGAACCTTGAATTCAAAAGCCGATTTAAAGATTTTAAAAAGCATTATGTACTTTTTGCTGCATTTGCAACATCATTCTCTGTAGATATGAACTTATTGTTAGAAGGATTATTAGTGAAGCATTGTAGTACATATTTAAAAGAGAAAGGTCCATTAGGTTGGTTTGGAATATTTCTACAAAACATATTTGGACAAAAAGAAATGTCCTGCATTTTACAAAGAATCTCTGTCAATGCATTGTTTGGAAGGATATGCACTTGTGAAAACTAGAAGTGAGAATATATGAATCATTGATGTTAGATGAGATGATGAATTTGGAAAATTGCTTGTATGTAGCAGTAATTTCAGTTGATAACGACATTGATGTACTTAGTTCTGTGAAACATAACCAGGTGTTTTATGAAAATTTATTATTTTTATTTTTAATACCTAATCCTAATCTAATAAATGTATTTATTTCCCACTTTTGTAGTCTTTTTTCATGTGTATTGTTTGCTTTAATAATAAAAATTGGTTGATCTTTACATTACAGTAACTGGTAGTTTGGCGACATTTTGGAGGCGATAAAGGTTACTACCTGGGACTTTGGTAATAATGTGAGCAGTACTGAGTTCCGATTACGCATTATTTTGTGTGGGGGAAATGAGAGATCATGGGATATGTCATGTGATATTAATGGACGAATTACGGTTCTTTAATCGGAAAAGGGGGGAAAAATCGGGAAAAAAATCTGGGAAATTTTGTATTTGGCTTTATTCTGTGTTGTGTGAAATAGTGTTTGTGAATTTTTGGATCCCATGGCCGTAAGTAAATTGAATTCGAAATGGGTATTTAGTGGTATTGAAAAGGATAGTAAGAAATGTTTTTTAAGGTTGTGTGAGAGAGAAATAAACATGTTTTATTATGTTATTTATTTTACCTGGTATCTTGCTTTGAAAGATGAGTATGATTTTAAAGATTCTGAAAGAGAATGAAGAAAAGTGTATCCGCCACGTAATGAAGATTCTGAAGGAGATTAGGTAAGTTAGTATTTTTAATTATTTTTATGCATTGTTGGAAATGTAAGGTGGAAAGGAATTTGGTATTATTGGGAAAATTGTTATTAGCAATGATTTAGTTTAGTTTAAAGTAATTAGGATTGTAAGGTAATTTTTATTAATTGAATGTATGTGCTCATGTATATTTTAAGTGGTGTTTTTGAAATTTAATTATATTTTAATGAAATGATAGTTATTTTGTGAATTTTATACTTGTAGGAATTTGGTGTATGTTTAAGTTGAAATAAATGTGCATGGAAATAATTTAAATATTTGATAATAAATATTTGTAATGCTTCATGTATGAATTCGTTGGGGACGTGTATAATGTAATAGATGATTTAGAGGTAAAAGTTTTTGGATATTTTATTTATTTTATATGTGGAAATGTTCATATTTGTAAAGGGTAAATACTTTTTCGCGATCATGTAATTTCATATATGTTCTTTTTACCGGGTTTAAAGATTGAGAAAATTGTCATGTATTTTCGTGAAATTTTTTGAATTTATGAGAAAAAAGCAGTGTACATGGATATAGTGAAGAGTGTGCGCAATGCCATTTTGTGCAATTCTGGGATGTTTTTTTAAGTAAAAATAAGTCGGCGTGTACATGGTTTATGTGTATGTGTGTTATTTTGAAAAACGCGTAAGGTGTATGGTATTGTGCACTTTTTCCGAATTTTGCAGTGAATATTTGTCATGATTAAGCAGTTTTGTTTGATAAAATTTCTAGCATAAGTGTAATTCGGCTAGTAGATTGTTGGAAGAAGTGTTCAGTAGATAAGAAGAAAAGAAACGTCTTTACTTCGTGAAGACAAAATGGCGGCGGGGAAAAAAAATAGAGGGTTGCTGTAGGGGAGTTGGTCGCCAAATTTTCACCAAAAAATCGCCAAGTTACCGTAATGTAAAGATCAACCTAAAAATTGATTGTGCTATCTGTCAGGAAATCTCATTTCTAAAATGTGAAAAGGTAACTGCAAGGTTGGTCATCCATGATTTAGCATTTTTTTTTTTTTTTTTACTTATTCTCTTAACTAAAACATTTTATAGTTATTTTGTGCCAAAGCTATTTGTAATTTTTTTTTTGTTTTGTTTGCCATGTTTCCTCAGCACAAGGCAGTGGCAATTTAATCTTGTAACACAGCCATGCTTCTCCTCTTATTATTATTATTTAAAAAATTTTTTTAATTTTTGCCATAATAATTTTTTTTTTATTTGAGATTTTCCAAGACGAGTAATGGCCATCATATTTTTTTCAAAGCAAGATGTACAAAGAAAGACGTTCTTTGAATAAGTCCATGAAATGCGGCTCAAAACTGGGGGGGGGGGGAAAGATATTTTCTGCCATTTTGGATTACCATCTGTTGATTGATGACTGGGGCATTATCATTGCAGGGGAAGATTTAACCTCTTCACTCCTGTCATCAAGAGAAAAAAGTTCCTGTATATGCTTGTGACTTTGGAGCACTGAACGTCACTGTGTGTTTATAGTTAAGCCTAGCATGTTCAAATAATTCCTATAAAATATATTTTTTATCAGAATATTTAGATTCTTACATGTGTGTTATTTAAATATTATTTCGGTTGATCTTTACATTATGGTAACTTGGCGTTTTTTTGGGCGAAAATTTGGCGACCAACTCTCCTACAGCAACCCTCTATTTTTTTTTCCCGCCGCCATTTTGTCTTCACGAAGTAAGGCCATGTTTCTTTTCTTCTTATCTACTGAACACTTCTTCCAACAATCTACTAGCCGAATTACACTTATGCTAGAAATTTTCTCTAACAAAACTTCTTAATCATGACAAATATTCACTGCAAAATTGGGAAAAAGTGCACAATACCATACTCCTTACGCGTTTTTCAAAATAACACATACACATAAACCATGTACACGCCGACTTATTTTTACTTAAAAAAACATCCCAGAATTACACAAAAATGGCATTGCGCACACTCTTCACTATATCCATCTACACTGCGTTTCTCTCATAAATTAGAAAAATTTCACGAAAATACATGACAATTTTCTGAATCTTTAAACCCGGTAAAAAGAACGTATATGAAATTACCTGATCGCGAAAAAGTTTATACCCTTTCCAAATATGAACATTTCCACATATAAAATAAATAAAATATCCAAAAACTTTACCTCTAAATGATCTATTATATTATACATGTCACCAACGAATTCATACCGCAAGCATTACAAATACTTAGTGTCAAATATTTAAATTATTTCCATGCACGTTTACTTCAACTTAAACGTATACCAAATTCCTACAAACATAAAATTCACAAAATAACTATCATTTAATTAAAATATCACTAAACCATGTACACGTCGACTTATTTTTACTTAAAAAAACATTCCAGAATTGCACAAAAATGGCATTGCGAACACTCTTCACAATATCCATGTACACTGCTTTTTTCTCATAAATTAGAAAAATTTCACGAAAATGCATAACAATTTTCTGAATCTTTAAATCCGGTAAAAAGAACATATATGAAATTACCTGATCGCGAAAAAGTACATACCCTTTCCAAATATGAACATTTCCCCGTATAAAATAAATAAAATATCCAGAAACTTTTACCTCTACATTATCTATTATATTACAAATGTCACTAACTAATTCATACCTTTACTTCATTACAAATGGTTACAAATACTTAGTGTCAAATATTTAAATTATTTCCATGCACATTTACGCAAATTACTTTACTTTCACCTTACATTTAGAACAATGCATAAAAATAATATCCTCAAATAATTAAAAATACTAACTTACCTATTCTTCTTCAGAATCTTGATTACGTGTCCGATAAACTTTTCTTATTTCTGTTTCAGGATCTTTAAAATCATACTTATAGTTAACACCAAGGTACCAGGTAAAATAAATAACTTAATAAAACATCTTTACTTCTATCTCGCACAACCTTAAAGAAACACTTATTACTACTCCTTTCAATCCCAATAAATACCCATTTCGAATTCACTTTAGTTAGGGCCATGGGATCCAAAAATTAACGAACACTGTTTCACACAACACAGAATAAAGGCAAATACAAAATTTCCAGATTTTTTTTCAGATTTCCCCCCTTTTCCAATTAAAGAACCGTAATTCGGCCATTAATATTACATGACATATCACATGATCTCTCATTTCCCTCACACAAAATAATGCGTAATCGGAACTGAGTACTGCTCACATTATTACCAAAGTCCCAGGTAGTAAACCTTTATCGCCTCCAAAATGTCGCCAAACTACCAGTTACCATATTGTAAAAATCAGCCATTATTTCTTGCATTGCTGGCAGAAAATCATAATGCTTACAACTAAAATAAAAATTCAGAAGAATATAATATTCAGTTTTGTTAATAATGATTATATTTATGCATTAAAAACATTTTCATACTATAATGAAGTAAAAGCTAGGAATTTAAATATCAGTGTCTGTTTTGTCCTATTGTCATATTAACATTAAAATTTTAAGCTGCGTATTCTGTGTTATTTCTTATATTGTAAACAGAAAATCCTAATGCTTACAATTAAAATAAAAATTAAAATAAATTAATGTGTAGTATTGTTAATAAAGATTATATTTACATATTTAAAATATTTTCATACTGTAATGAACTAAGGATTTAAATATCAGTGTCTGTTTCATTCCGTTGTCACACTAAAGTTAAAATTTTAAGCTGTTTGCACTGTGTGAAACATTTTTAATTTTTAAATGTGCATTGTAAGCATCATCTTTTTACATTTGTAGAATAAAATGATAAATAATATTAATTACAGTAAAGTTAACATGCAAGAAATTCCATTCAATAAGGTACCCCATCGTTCTGACATCGTTTATGCACAGATGAAATTTGAATTAAAACATTTTGTTTCGTTCCAGCAGTAACACTTCATTCCAGTGTTCCATTCATACAATGGGCCCATGGAGGGAAACTGAAGTGTATCATATGTGATAGAGAGAGAGGGAAAAAAAAAAAAAAAAAAAATCAGTATAACAATTGTGTTGGTCGCATTAAGTGGAGCTCTTTGAATTTAGAATTGTAGTAATTTAGTTTGAATTTAGTACTTTGAATCTGTCTATCATCAGCTGTTACATTGTGTATATTTAGGAAAATATTATCTTCTTAAAAGCCTTTCTTAGTTGCAGTATGAATATTTATTGTATTTTAATGTAACTTAAATGAAATAGGAAAAGTAATAACTTTCCTGTGAATTTAATTTTATGAATGCCAAAATGTTAAACATGTATACATGTAAATGCTTGTATTTCATCAAGAGTTAATAAAACTATGATTATTCATTATATTTTAATGAGAACTAATATATAAAGAATAAAGTGTTACGTGAACAATAATTATAATATTATGAAAAATTAATGGATTTCAAAGAAGACATGACTAATTTTCTTTAGTAATATTGCATTATATGTGCTTTGTCATTTTTGAAAGTTTTAGACAGTTTAAAGAAATAACTATTATTATTTATTATTTCTACTAAGGTGTATGATTTATTTATTCCTCATGTAGTTTATGTAACATTTTTTAGATATGGCTGGCCTGTTAGCTAATTTAGGAGGAAATCCTCTTCATACTCCTGTTGGTCAGAAGATAGGTATAATATATTTTTATTTGATATAATTAATAATATGTGACAAAACATTTTATACATATAATTAATTTTATGTTGAAAAACAAATTAATAAAACTTACTTTTAATGCACATAAAACTGAAATAAAATAAAGCAATTAAAATAGATTCAAGATTGTTTAAGAAAGCATGAAAGTATTTGATATTTCTCATCCAGAGGCAGCTAACAAATCAAAAATGCTTAAACAAAAGATTAAAATAATAATAATAAAATACATGACAAATTGGTGTTAATCGTAAAGAAATTGTAGATGTGTGTATGTTGAATTAAAAACCAGTGCCACATAATAAAGGGGGGATCCACATAATACTTCTTAATTGAAATCCACAAGACAGAAGTTATATGAAAAATAAAACAAGTGTAAAAAAAGGGGACAGTGGGGTTATAAACATAACGAGGTGCATTTGTAGAAATGCACCTCGTTATGTGCTGCATTTCTGAGCTCACTATTTGACTCGTGAAAATAATTTTTAGGAATATTTTATAACAGCATAAAAGATTAAAATTAATTGATTATTTGCAAATGAATTATTGAATTCAACTGTATGCAGCTCTGATATGACTGGAACCAAAAATTAAAAGTATGAAATAGTAGGAACAGGTAACAATGATTATATTAAGCTACTAACACTAAAGTGTAATAAAATTAAAAAAAAAAAAAAAAAAATTGAAAGAAATTCAATAATAAATGAAAAGAACATCCAGATAATTTAATATCAAAATTAAAGTTAATAAATAATTAAATTAAGTAGCGTAGACGCTAAAAGATCCCTAGAAAATCATCTCATGCCATTTTTGAACTGTGTTAGTGCAGATTCATTGATTGACACTCTATAAATTAGGCTTGGCCTCTTAGCTAGGGGAAAAAACCCGAAAATTATTCTCATGAGTGGGCTGTTAAAGTCAAAAATGCAGCTAGTGGTCTACCACCTGATGTACATTTGTCACCCGATGAGATAAGTATATTTATATTGTCCACCCTGTGTGATAGTGCATTATTATTATTATTATTATTTTTTGTTTACACATTGTTATGAATTGTTAAGGTCCAGTTTAGAGAAATTCTCGTTATGAACCCTGCAATGGAGGAGCCGGCATACAGAGTACGCCAATGCCATCTTTTTGGGCTGTAATTTTTAGACAACCCCTTCCCGAGCTTCCTGCCTTCCTCTACCCTCCTAGAAACATTTCATGAGTGCAACACATCAGGTATTTCTGGTCAGTCTGGTTTTCGCCTTCCTTCCAAAAGCAGTTATTGTGACCATGTCGCATAGGCGAATGCAGTACACCACTCTTCCAAGTATGTACAGAAAGAATATTGTACCTCCTGAAGATTATTTGAGTGTTTTAAAAGAAGTCTCGGTTAATGAAGACTTTAACAATTTGGATAATGCATTAAACATTCTGATCATCAAAGTGACTCAGAAATTGAGGGAAATGCTTCTAAACATCCTCATTTTCCTTACTCAAGTGATGTTTACCCAACAAATGACGATTTTAGTGATGTTGAAAATGACATAAGTGATTTAAAATGTAAGGACTTTTTTGTAAAAACAATTTATAAAAAGAAGAAAGTTGGAGGAAAGTTTCTGGAAGAAGAAAAGGAAACTTATAAGTGGAATAAAGTTCCCCTCAAGAGCAAATTCGCCAGAACGCCTCGAAAAAATTTGATGAAAAAAAAAGTATTTCCAAGTGTCAAAACTTGTGACGATATAAATGATGATCTTTCTGCTTTCCAGAAAATCATAAAAACAAATATGATTGATGCTATTGCACAATATACAAATATTTATCTCAAATGTAACAGGACTGCAGATGATCTCCAAAACATCTCAAAGAGAAGCATTTATGATGCGTTTTATACATTGAAGCTTGAAATTTATTGTGGCAATCAACTTCCAGGACTTTATGAGGCTTCTAATTCAAGTTTTGACATTGTTAAAAGGCTAATTGGCGCGTACAAAGGTTTCAACCGTAACCTGACAACCGATAATTGGTATACAAACTACCCGCTAGCTCTTATTATCTTCGTACCAAAGGTCACAGTTTCAGACTGTGATACTAAATAATTGTTATCAGCGTGTATTAATCTTAATCTGCCCTACATTTTTTAAGAGACTTTCAAAATTCTTGAAACATTACACATTAGGAATTTTAAATTCTGAAACATTTATTATGCTTTTGTGTGATTATTTGAGATTTTTTTTAAGGTCTTGTTTGAATAGCCTATAACTCTGGGAGAAACTTTCTTACTAAGCTCTTAAATCAAACTCTCACCCCTCAGTGTTATTTTAAAGTCATGATGCAGGTTATTGCCTGTAGCTTAAAACACAAATGCACAAGCAGTTGAAACTTTATTCAGCAATTAACTGGAACTTGCAATTCAAACAGATAGTATATATAACCTTGCCATTGAGCCTTAGCAAGCATGCATTGATGTTGCTACAGATTATTTTAATTGAACAGTTCTTTTTACTCTATCTCTGTTTTTTTTTTTTTTTTTTTCTTGTTTTGTTTTCCTCAGTCAAGGTCAAAATTGCCTGTTTAATTTACAGGAACCCAATATTTAAGTTCCACCAAAATTCTACTGAAGAAGGATTTTGCTGCTTACATTTCATTTTTCTGTTTCTCATATTCAGTGAGAGATTTTCTATAACAGTGTATTCTTTAAATGTATAAAGAAAATAAATTAAAGAATGTGTTTTAATAGTAACTTTTGTTTCTAAGCACTTTTTTAAAGAAAATTCTTCTGTTATAAATTTGAGAACAGTAAATGTTTGAATTTTACTTAAAATTTGTTCAAATTTCTTGTCTTCATATATATTTGAATAAAAATATTCAAATTACTTTTTATAGAGCAAGCTACAGATGCTTCTCTATCAACAGAAAATTGGGCTTTAAACATGGAAATATGTGATGCAATTAATGAGACAGATGAAGGGTAAGTCATATTTGTTGCTGAGAGAAATATTTGAGAATACTGAATAAATTATTAATATTATTATTTTAACAGTGATAACAAAAGTGCTTGATTTATGTGGGAAAGTAGATGACATATTTTCATTTGTTTTCAGACCAAAAGATGCTGTGAGGGCTATTCGGAAAAGATTACAACAAAACATTGGAAAAAATTATACTGTTGTTTTATATACTTTGACTGTAAGTTATCATTCTTTCCTTCTTTATGTTTCATAAATGGAAAGAAAATAAGTAATTATAAATGTGACTGCATGATTAAAATTTAATGTGCAGCTATTTGTGATTTTCAATATTTTAAAATATTTATTCTTTGTTATTTCTAGTAGCCATGCATTTGCAATTTAGTGCATTCAATTGGAATGACGAATACCAGTCAGTCTTTTAGCTGTCTTATCACCAAGAAGAATGCCTTAGGTACACCACAGGGGGTGATCGAGTTTACACTCATGAGAATGGAAAATTCCATCCCAATTTTGATGAGAGACCCATTGTATGGGTCTTGGGGATACTCAGATAACCAGCACTTAAGTGAACTTCCTGAAATGGCGTTCGGCAAGTAGGGCGATACGCGCCATACAGTGGGAGGACACTTTAGGTTGCTAGTTTAGACCTTCACAACGCTAGGGAGAAAGAGAAAAGGGAAGGGACATTTTCTTTCTATATGTAAATACTTTGGTTTGGCTGTCATGTGACTTTGCAGATGAATCGTCGTGCTGATCACGTGACTTTGTCAGCAGATGTGGTGCATACGCTCATATGCTATTTGTTGTTCCGTATGATCATTCGCTATTTAATTATTTTATTAGAACAAAATATTATTTCTTAGACTATTAAAATCTATTATATGTCTAAATACTATTAAAATCATAATTATTTAATTATCGGAGACGGGCTTCAAGTTGCCGTAAACCATTCACTATACTAAAAAAATGTTAGAAAATAAAATTACTATTAATATTATTAATGATTTAAAAATTAAATAATTAATTATTACCAAATTAATTCAGAATTATTTAAATAATATTAATAATTAATACTGGACTCCCAGTTGCTGTTTAATTACCTTATAAATTATTTTCTAAATAACTTAATGACCTTATAAATTAATTACCCTTGTAATTACAACAAAGTAGATAACATATGGTCTTTTTCTAATTTATCGTTCGTATGGGCACATTTTTTTAATTATTTACTTAATATTTCAGTATATGGCTGTTATTTATATAGCCTTAACAAACAGGAATTAATTTCTAAATAAATTAATTGTACTCCTAACATGAATTATTCAGAACTCCTAACAGAAAAGCACTCATGGGTTATTTGCTTAAGATGGTGGAAATCCGTTAGTCAAACTCCTAGACGAACTACCAGTGTGCAACAGTTTTACCGCTATCTTGCTGACAGACACTGTATCATACAAGCAATTTTTTAATCCCTCCTAATCAAATTTATGTTGAAATAAAATGCTTATAAGACTTTGAAATGCTAATAAGTTAATGTAAAATATTAAAGAAACAATATTCTGCTACTTTTCTATGTCAAGTATATTTCATTGATTTCTTTATATAGAGAATTTTGGGGAGTTCGGTCTATCAGTAAAAAATTTAAACTATTATACAAAACATGAGCAAAATTCTTTCACAGATAAACAAATAAAAGTTAATTAAATTTATATCATCAAATCTTTGAATAAGATTTATCTTCATAGATTTTTCTGCTGTGTTGTTACTCCTGTCAGTTTTTAATGGTAATGAATATAAATATTGAAATTTTTGCATCACCATATTTGCAACAAATACATAACTGAAATATATTCACGAAATATATTGTTAGAAATCTTGTTTCCCTGCAGTTATGCAATTCAGGATTACATTTCTTTGTTTACCTACATGAAAACTATTTTTGTATTTTAAGATGAAGAGGGGGAATTCTGCTTCAGTGTTAATAAATTCAAAAGAAGCTTTTTTTTAAAACCTGTAAAAAAAGGGAATTTTTTTTTTTTTTTTTAAAAAGAGACAGATGTCTTATTTTGCACCTGCTATGTTTTTCTAAGTCAAGGTTATTTCATTGAACAGTTATGGTTAAGCTGCACTGAACTATTTGCTTTGTGGAATTCAGTTTATTTCTGATTTAGTTATAAAATTCAGTTATCTACTTTTTCCTTCAGTTGATTTATAAACACATTAAAGACGCAGATATTAAAAAAAGGAACACTTTTATTGCACAGTCACCTATCAAATTTAATTTTTGCAAAAACGTTTATTATCGAAAAAATATCTGTTACTTATTAATGCAAAATTATGTTAACAAATAAAAATATGTAATACATTTTTACTGTTTATGTTAGTAATTTTGATCAAACAAATTTTTCTATGAAATATTGATTATTAACAGAGAATCGATTTTTCGCGAAATGACGTAGGCGCAAAACCCCATGAACTTTGACCTCTGAACTCTGAACCTGCATTATTTTGGTTCAGTGCTCTGTATGTAATACTTCAAAAGGAATCACCTGCCAAAGCAAGTATTTTTTCAATTAAATTTTTATCTATTTCCATCTATTGATATTTGCATTTGACCTCTGAACTCTGAACCTGCATTATTTTGGTTCAGTGCTTTGTATGTAATACTTCAAAAGGAATCACCTGCCAAAGCAAGTATTTTTTCAATTAAATTTTTATCTATTTCCATCTATTGATATTTGCATATTTGAATTACTATTTTTTATTTATATTAAAATTGCTACTTCTTTAACTTAGAAATATTTGTAATTTCTTCATATTTAAGAAGTTATTAATATTTATTTCTGCATTTTCTTCTGTCTACTACTAAACCTTTATTCCTGTAAGTTACCAGTGTTTTAGTTTGATATATTTTAGCTTAAATTAACATAATTTTTAATTTAAAAATAATGCATTAATTATATTTAATATTTTATTTGATTTATCTAATTTTATTTTATTTGTAATATAATGTGAATGGATAATTTTATATAAAATATTTATTCTAAATAAAATGCTGACATAGGATTATTTTAATATAGAGAGTAAAAATAAATCTATAATGATCGGTTTAGTTCATCAACGTAAAATGTAATGTGTGAAATGAAAGTTTTATTTTTTAAAAAATAGTATATTCATGTATATTTGATCTTTTTAAATTTTTAACGTTACTTGCGTGATAAATATTCCATTTGCATGATTTTTACTGCATATATATGAAGACCATATTTTCAAACCTATTTAACTATTATTATGGATAATTGTAAAAATTAATGGTCAGAATTAAAAAGGGAGGTATAAAAGGTAATAATGTTGAAGTTATATATATCGTAATAAAAATACTAAGGTGAAAAAAAGTATGTAGATTAACCACATCAATAACTAAATTAGTTCTATGTGCATTGTTTACCTTTTTTAACGCAAACGCGTTATTGTATTTAGCCTCAGGCGATTTTCGCCTAGCACGGTTTTCTCCCCTATATCGGGCTCAAAAGGGAAATTTTGGAAAGCGTCTTTTGATGTTATTTCCCTCTTGGTATAAAAAAAATCCTTCTGAGGATTTGGCAAGTTTCGCCGATTCAAGATAGCAGAGAAAGTTGCGCCAAGTGCCGGTTATCTGAGTCTTTCCTGGGTCTTACAGCCCTCTTCTCATACCACCAAACAATTTCTGGCTTGCTATGTGTTTTAAGTGCTCCACACAAAAACTATATACTTACAGATGACCAAATGTTTTTCGAAATTTTAGCTTGGGCCCAGTGACATGGCAGCCAATAGAACTAAAACGTTGTACCAATAAAGACAAAAAATTTTATTTTTTTATTTTTAGATATCCTTCGGGACTTTGGCGATTCCAGTTTTTGCACTTTTATGGGTATTATACCATCATTTTAAATCTAGTAAGATGATATGTAGAAATTATAAAAATTAAAAATATGAAATGGTGATTTCTGAAATAATAAAGCATTTGGTGACTTTAAGGGAATAAAATTAAAAAATATATATATATTTGTTTGTTTTATTTAACATTTCTTTCAATATAAGTTGTTTAAGTTGCTATGTTTTTTGGGCTAATACTTCTCTTTAAATCTATAAATAAACATTATTTCTTATTCAGTTCCATTGTTCAAGTCCTATAATTACCATGTCGAGGATTCCCATTTTATTGTCATTTGAAATTTTTTCATTTCCGACAACTTCTGTGTCACTTTCTTCACTATTGTTAATGATATTTTCTGGATTTAGAGCTATACTACAGATTTTGCTGTCAGTTAGTTGATTAATGATTGGGTATTGTCATCATAATGAAAAAATTATGTTACATAGTTTTCATTTATTACCATTTCTCCACAGGTTCCATTAATTGGAAAATTTTGCTTTTGGTTTGCAGTACCTGAACACCTTCGAATATGCTGCTACTATTATACAGCTTAGCTTGTATGTACTATATACTATTGGTGGCTAGAGACATGGCCTGTTAAATTTCATCATGGTTCTATCACACACTGACGAAATTAAGGCTGAATTATATTAGTTTACTTATTTATTATATTTATGCTTATTATTATACACATGCTTAAGGCTTATTTGAGTCCCAAATAAATAAATTCCTACATATATACTTAACTCTTCTCCAAGGCCACTGCTAGACATTTTGCAGCCCAATGCAGTATCTATGAGTCTGAAATTTTTTTAAGTGCCTCCTTAATGTCTAAAAATTTTGCTGCACCTAAATTTTACATCCCATTACCTTTCTTAAATTATAAACAGTTTGCCAACTCTTAATTTTCTTGCTGAGGGCCTCTTTAAATTCTAAAAGTTCTGCCATCCTGTGTAACCGCATCAGCTCTGACCCCTTTCTTAGGCTAATAAATGAGTCATTCTGAATTCAAACAGTGCTAAATGTCACCTTTTGGCTTATGAATATCATTTACAAAATCCATTTTTGCATAAGGATACAAATTTTTTTAAAATTTACATATCAACGCACTTCAGAGTGGAGTTGTGAAATCTGTAATCGTTGCCAAGGATACTGCCAAACATAAAAGGTTACCATGCTCTTTGGTATTCAATTAATAAATTTTTAAAAAAATTTTTAGACATTGCCACATGAGTCATTTCTCAAGAAATATTGATAGCCATGCGGTGATAAAAGCAAAAGGTAATAAATAATGATTTGGG